AAATTATTATACTCATAAATAATTAAATGCAATAATGGTAATTTTTTACATTAGTTGACATTGGAATTGAGACATGAAGTTTAGTGAGGTAGGTAGTACTCACCAAGTAAAGTAGTGTGGTAGTATTTATTAGAATTTTGTTTATTATTTGTTTAAAAATCAATGTGACTGAGATACAGGCTCTACTGTGTCCATCAAACATCGTTTGTCCAAAAAATTATCCTCCTAACATTATTCCAATATATCAGGCCGCCTTCGGCGGGCAGGGGCATTACAGGGACTCGAGTTTGTCATAAATCTACCTAACTAAACAATGGACGTCATCAATGCATATTTGGCGAGAACAGCTGACGAAGGGCTGCAGCCAGGGGCGAACCAACCGGAATTTCCCCCAATTAAGAAAACTTTAGTAGCCTGTATCTCAAGCTACATTGGTTTCCGCATGGAATTAATACTACCATACGATTCTACTTGGTGAGTACTACCTATCTGACTAAACTTCATGTCTCAATTCCAATGTCAACTAATGTAAAAAATGGTCAAATAATCTTATTTGGCAATTTTTCAGTATAGTGAAGAAGTAAATTAATTAGATATTTGAAAATACACTAGTGATCTTTTGAAAATAATTCATTCTGACATAAGAAGACTACATTTTTATTTGCGAATACAAAGGCTATTTCCCAAATTTTAGTAGATTACTCTAGCTAACATCATATATCATACCAGACTAACTGGAATATATATAAAACAAGAAATTCAGTAAAACTCTCAGATGCAGAAGTTGAAATTAACTACAGATACTTAAATAGCCAAATTAATTAAAATTACAGTGTTAAAAATTTTGGTAAATTTGTCTGATTTAAATTCAAGGAATTCACACAATACTCTAGAAGAATTAACCGGTTGAAAAGTTTTATATTAGGACTTCTTGACTGAAGTTTCCTGCATAAACCTTTAAATAGAATGGATTTTAATTCGTAAGAGCATTAATATAAATAAATCGCATTTTGATATTCCCGAAAAGAGATGAATCTAAAGAATCTGTGTTGTACATTTTCAATTTGATTTGAATAAATATTGTAAAAAGGCTATCAAACTCGTAACGCATATATCAAGATTAATCTAAATAATGAAGTCAGTTATTTCGAAACACTACCGCCGAGTTCGGTTTGTATTTAATTTTAAAAATCGTTTAACTCGGCTAAAACACTTTGTTTCCTTCTCCTGTAATTTTGCAATATGTATAGCTTCCAACTGAACTCCTTCATATTTTCGATGGCTTGATGGCAATAATCCATATTATTTTCAGGAAGAGAATGATGTATATAAACTTCTTTGGTAACAACGTTCTCTGCTTTCATGAAAGTACATTTTCTAGTATACATCATACAATAGGACTGGAGACTGATGATACAAGATGAATTAATAATTATCTTTTCTAAATTTTCTGAAGGGCACTTTGATATTATCTCTTTGTTTTCTGCTGCTAGACATAGCTATGAATTTTGACTTAAGTGAATGAACTCGAGTTCTTTAAATACCGTTGTATGAATGGAACATGATTTTGGGAATTCTTTTGGTTCGATATGTTGTACTTCGCATGCTGATTCCTCAAAAATGTCTTTGTTATACCATTTGAGCAGATTAATTTTGGAATATGACTATTTTTTGGTTCCATTTTTGTTTAATCCAAAATAAGTAAGTGGGATTATAAAATGAAAAATTTGATTTTGTATTGGGATAGGATAAGCATATGGACGAATGGGTGTAAGTTGCACATCTATTATTAAGGACACTGATAATTTTATAACAAAAAAGTTTTGAGATAATAAAATAGTAGGTGAAATAACTTAATATGCAGATAAATGTTCCTTGTTGGTTTATCTTTCAGATTTGAAGGCAGTTTCATTAGTTCTGTTAAAAGAATATTTGGTGTTGTAGCTTTATGTGACAGTGTACTAATTTGTGCAAATGAGATATTTGTTCTAAATCTAAAGTAATATCGTATATTCCAAGATCTCTTGAGAGGCTGTTAAAACTTGTTGATTATATTTTTTAATTTGAAAACAATTTTATTTGTCAATGGCTTTTTTAATATTCTTATATTTCGGTGTAATAATGAATGTGGGAGAAGGAAATATTTTAGGGAAGTTTCATAATTTTGGGTGTTTGGAAGGTAAGCTTAATTTTCAAAAATGTTTAAGTCAAATTATTGTTGGTATGCTCTTGTTTAAATATTGGTATATTTTGCACTTTAGGTAATATTGAACTAGAAAATGGAAACTTGGTTTTTATTGAAGGTTCAACATATGATACTGGTCATACATATTTATTAAAAGCAGCAGGTTAGTGAACATTAATATTTAGTTGTAGCAACATATAAGTAATGTAGTTATTAGATGTGTTTTTTTTGATAAGATTTGCATTATTTTAAAATGCTTGTTATACATTTATAGTAATGTTCTGTTTAAATGCAGGTGAAGATTTTGAAACATTCTCCGACATTAATGTGGATTTAAATATTCAATCCAAAACTGTTACGGAATATTCTAGACATAATCTTCAAAAATCGTCATCCATGCTAATTAATGAGTTGGCACAGTTCAATAATATCAATTTGGTTCATTCACTGGTAGCGGAACATGTAAGAATTTGTGACATTTATTTGTATAAATTGAATTGAAGTAGCTTTCCTGTAAAATACGTTACTTCACTTATTATATTAAAAAAAAATAACTTGTATAAAGGGAATTACTTATGTCAGGCTCGAAGCAACATTTAACTGATCTGACATTGCGTTTGTTAAAAGTTATTTGCCATATTAAATTATAATTTTATATAAACTAAAACTGATAATGTAAATAAATGAGGTATTGTGAGAATATTCTAATATATTGTGAGAATATTCCAAAAAAACAAAAAACTAAAATAATCGGTAATTTTTTTACATTAGTTGACATTGGAATTGAGACATGAAGTTTAGTGAGGTAGGTAGTACTCACCAAGTAAAGTAGTGTGGTAGTATTTATTAGAATTTTGTTTATTATTTGTTTAAAAATCAATGTGACTGAGATACAGGCTCTACTGTGTCCATCAAACATCGTTTGTCCAAAAAATTATCCTCCTAACATTATTCCAATATATCAGGCCGCCTTCGGCGGGCAGGGGCATTACAGGGACTCGAGTTTGTCATAAATCTACCTAACTAAACAATGGACGTCATCAATGCATATTTGGCGAGAACAGCTGACGAAGGGCTGCAGCCAGGGGCGAACCAACCGGAATTTCCCCCAATTAAGAAAACTTTAGTAGCCTGTATCTCAAGCTACATTGGTTTCCGCATGGAATTAATACTACCATACGATTCTACTTGGTGAGTACTACCTATCTGACTAAACTTCATGTCTCAATTCCAATGTCAACTAATGTAAAAAATGGTCAAATAATCTTATTTGGCAATTTTTCAGTATAGTGAAGAAGTAAATTAATTAGATATTTGAAAATACACTAGTGATCTTTTGAAAATAATTCATTCTGACATAAGAAGACTACATTTTTATTTGCGAATACAAAGGCTATTTCCCAAATTTTAGTAGATTACTCTAGCTAACATCATATATCATACCAGACTAACTGGAATATATATAAAACAAGAAATTCAGTAAAACTCTCAGATGCAGAAGTTGAAATTAACTACAGATACTTAAATAGCCAAATTAATTAAAATTACAGTGTTAAAAATTTTGGTAAATTTGTCTGATTTAAATTCAAGGAATTCACACAATACTCTAGAAGAATTAACCGGTTGAAAAGTTTTATATTAGGACTTCTTGACTGAAGTTTCCTGCATAAACCTTTAAATAGAATGGATTTTAATTCGTAAGAGCATTAATATAAATAAATCGCATTTTGATATTCCCGAAAAGAGATGAATCTAAAGAATCTGTGTTGTACATTTTCAATTTGATTTGAATAAATATTGTAAAAAGGCTATCAAACTCGTAACGCATATATCAAGATTAATCTAAATAATGAAGTCAGTTATTTCGAAACACTACCGCCGAGTTCGGTTTGTATTTAATTTTAAAAATCGTTTAACTCGGCTAAAACACTTTGTTTCCTTCTCCTGTAATTTTGCAATATGTATAGCTTCCAACTGAACTCCTTCATATTTTCGATGGCTTGATGGCAATAATCCATATTATTTTCAGGAAGAGAATGATGTATATAAACTTCTTTGGTAACAACGTTCTCTGCTTTCATGAAAGTACATTTTCTAGTATACATCATACAATAGGACTGGAGACTGATGATACAAGATGAATTAATAATTATCTTTTCTAAATTTTCTGAAGGGCACTTTGATATTATCTCTTTGTTTTCTGCTGCTAGACATAGCTATGAATTTTGACTTAAGTGAATGAACTCGAGTTCTTTAAATACCGTTGTATGAATGGAACATGATTTTGGGAATTCTTTTGGTTCGATATGTTGTACTTCGCATGCTGATTCCTCAAAAATGTCTTTGTTATACCATTTGAGCAGATTAATTTTGGAATATGACTATTTTTTGGTTCCATTTTTGTTTAATCCAAAATAAGTAAGTGGGATTATAAAATGAAAAATTTGATTTTGTATTGGGATAGGATAAGCATATGGACGAATGGGTGTAAGTTGCACATCTATTATTAAGGACACTGATAATTTTATAACAAAAAAGTTTTGAGATAATAAAATAGTAGGTGAAATAACTTAATATGCAGATAAATGTTCCTTGTTGGTTTATCTTTCAGATTTGAAGGCAGTTTCATTAGTTCTGTTAAAAGAATATTTGGTGTTGTAGCTTTATGTGACAGTGTACTAATTTGTGCAAATGAGATATTTGTTCTAAATCTAAAGTAATATCGTATATTCCAAGATCTCTTGAGAGGCTGTTAAAACTTGTTGATTATATCGTTGAACGTTAATTAGTCAGGTTATTAGAAACATTTTGAACTTTAATTAGATTTGTTTGAATTGACGATTCGAACTGATAAAATTTGTACAAGATTTTGTTTGTTTTTTTATCATTATGTTATTTAAAATGTGGGCATTTCTTTCCATTAATTTTAACGTATCATGATTTTGTTTACTTAACTCTATTATAGGCGGATGATGAGGATATCGTGGGTAGAAAAGGTTAGAAATGAAGAGGTATTAGAAAGAATAGGAGAACAGAGGACTCTGTGGAAGTCAATAAAAAACAGGCGAGATAGGTTGGTAGGACACCTTCTTAGGCATGAAGGTCTAGTCAGAGACATATTAGAGGCAGAAACAGGAGTTAGGAGGGGTAGAGGTAGACCTAGATTAGATTACTGTTCGCAAATAGTTAAGGATGTGGGCTGTTCTAGTTTTAGGGAAATGCGAAGTTTAGCTCAGGATAGGAAAGAGTGGAGGTACGTGTCCAACCAGTCTTAGGACTGATGACCTTATGATGATGATGATGAACTCTATTATTACATTAGAATAATATTCTTCATTATTCAAATCCATTACACCAAACATCGTATGTAAAACATTACCAACAAGATAATCCACCCTTTTTTCGATTTCATTTAGTTGATTTTTAACTAGTTAAAATGTGCCAGAGTGTGAATATGATTATTTTTTATTATATAATTATAGTTTTATTATCTAATTGTAATTGACGAAATTCAAAAAGTAATTTATCTAGCTGGAAGTGCTATTGATAAACAGATTAGATTACTGGTCGCAAATGGGTTGTTCTAGCTTTAGGGAAATGAGAAGATTAGCGCAGGATAGGAAAGAGTGGAAGTGCGTGTCCAACCAGTCTTAGGACTGACGACCTTATGATGATGATGAAGATTGTTTTAGAATTCGGTTTTATTTAATAATTTACAATCAGGTAATGGTCGTATATAATCCTTTAATGTTGCGCGCCAACATTCTGTTGCGCCATTGGATTGGTTTAGGATGATAAGTTTTTAAGAGTGTCTAATTTTGAATAGCTCTACCGATTACGGGTAGTTTCATTAACTAATTCGCCGCCATGGGAATGAATTCGAGCCGGTGAGCGAAATTGTTTAAATCACTCCAGAAGTTGTTATTTCCTTGGGTTAATTAAACTAAAGGTGATTTTATCAATATCAATCCCTTCATTAAATTTAGTGGGAGTTGCGGTTATCGTTAACAGTGCTTCAAAATTTTGACTTATTCCCGAATCTCCGTAAGTACTACATTGAGGAACACAACAATATTTCGTATTTCTACTTTTATTAGCAACAGGTTTCAGTGTGTAATTGTGATCCATCTGATTATGTCTAAACTTTACCTCCACTTTATACCAATAAGTGTCGTTCTTAGACAACTTCTAAATTTCGCCGCCAGGGGCGCGCGGATAATCTTTGCATCGCCAATGGTACTTAAAGGTTAGCAATAGGACATTAATTTGTCGGAGTAGTAACGCAGACTATTCAGTCATTTTTAAGAAAATGAAATATAAAAGAATACCATGCGCCTTATAATAGAAAAAATTGAGAGCTGCGCAGGTAACAACATAGCGCTGTCGTCCAGTTCTCTTTCAACCCTCGAAGGGAAATCACGGCTAATAGAGAATAGAGATCTAGTATAAGCGAACAGTAAATCTAATAAAGTTAAATAGAGTTGTGACAGTGCAAAAGTGATGAGCGACGGCTCGCACAAGGAGCAATACAAATAAGAACCAGCGGTAATAAGCACGGTTCTTTGAAACAGCAACTAATGGACGTAGATACTACAATGAAGCGAAAAAACAATAAAACTGAAAATCCAAAACCAAGTGAAGAAATACCAAACAAAGATACATCCCACTACTTTAACATAGTAAAAAAATCTCTGCAAGACAAAGAACAAAAACAGGATGAAAAGACTTACGAAAGTCACTCCATCGTGGAAACAAAAAACAGCTATACGCCACTTGAGAATCTGGAAGAAGATATGGATGTTAATGATGAAACTAACAACGCTTGGAAATCAACCCCTGAAAATAAAAACAAGAAAAACCAAATTGTACCACCGTTGGTATCAATGGCATAACAAAAAACCATATAGATTTTATTACAAATATAAAAACGAAAGTGAGAAAGGGATTTCATATTAAATATAGAAAAGATAAAAATAGCGTTTTTGTCTATGATAAAGAAGAACGAAGACAATTTCAAAGGACCATAAAAACTGACGGAATACCGTTCTACACTTTTTCCGAAAAATAAGAAAAACACCATGCTTTTGTCGTGAGAGGACTTGGTCCATCGCCAGACTGCAAAACAATGTCGAACGAATTAAAAAACGTCTACGAAATAAAAGTTATCAGCTGCTGCTGAATGAAGAACACAGTCGGTCGCTCTATCTTATTATCGCAAATAGCAAAACAAATGTGAAAATTTTGAAACAAAATGCAAGAGTAGTAGATTGCATCGTAGTACGATGGGAAAGGTACTACAACAAAAAAAAATAATATAGTGCCACAGGTGCCAATTTTGGAGACATGCAACTACAAACTGTAACCCAGTACCAAAATGCATGAAGTATGCCAAAGAGCATCTTACCAAGGAATGTGATATAGGCGTAGAAGACAAAGTGAAGTATGTGATTGCGATGGTAAGC